GGGGGGAGGAAGCAAAAAACTTTAAAAGTCTTATATTTTGTCACATGTGTTGACGATTACCACAAACTGACACAAACACAGTTTTTTAATCCAGTCCTCCTCGACAACTGACGTCCGTGTTGAAAACGTTGCTTTAGCTCGCTAATTAAGCCTTCTCAAATGAGCCTCCCATACTTTTTAGACGAAGAAATGTATTAAACTCCCTTCTTTATAAACCTCTCCCCCCTATTAAGCCCTCCCCTATTCATACAAAACACATGTGCTTTGATTACGATTTATTGATTCTCTTTACACCAATTTTGTTTTTATGACAAAATTATCATATCATTTGGATTAAAATATTAAAAATAAGCTCCCTCTCTTGTTTTTGCTCTTCCTCTCCATTAAAGCCACCCCCCCCCCCAAAGTTGCCAGTACAAAATATCCCCCGCCCCCACGCGACCTAATAGAGAAATTATGACAACAAACGCTGCTGTAGGGAGGGAACGTTTACAAGATAACAGCCTTTAATAGAGATAGTAAGGGCGTTTATTTGATATATCAGTATGTAGAAGTTGAGCATAGTTGGTACAAGCTTAGGGGACTGGCCATTCGCTGAGTAGGATGACAGAAATCGTACCATTCCAACTGGCTATGCAACAGACATCATCACAAAACCAGCCGATCATTCGCTGTATTAAAGCTATAACAAATTTTCGCTCCGCGAGGAATCATCTCACGTGAAATCTAATTAACCAACACATGCCATTCTCGAAACATTATAAACCAGGCATTAAAATACGGAATTTTTACAAGGACACACTTTGCCTTCAGAGGCGTATTTTTGGTATAAATGTGCAGACTCACGAGAACGAGTGGCGAAGCCACAAGTTTAGCGTCGAAGACGCGAGCTTTTAAGGGGGTCTCTGAAATGGCATTTCCAGAGTTCTGAGAACAGAATTTGCAAAATCTTTGGCCATTTTGCGCGGATTACATTAATATATTTTCAGTTTAATATACTTTCAAGTACACACTTTTCAATTTACAAGGGCACATTCGCCTTTTACAAGGACACAAAGTGTGTACAAGGACACGCTATTTTAATGCCTGTTATAAACAGTTACATCCAAGTCAGTCCCCAACTCTATACTCAAGGCAACCTGAAACCATAGCTTAGATATATGTGTTTTGTTTAGGTGATTGTGTACCTTGTGCAGGGTCACGGTTGTAAAATCCTTTGTCTTTCTATTGTTTGACAATAGTCAGTTCGGAAAGCTTGGCAGGGAATGGGTACCAAATATTTGTTTTGCCTACCAGGGCTATATCGTACGGCATATTTTGCAAATAACGAAGTATTACTACCATTGTTCGATGGAGAATGTTTGTGTTACATCTTTTGGTCAATTCTCATTGATTAAAACCAATATGTGCAGGGTCAAACTGACTGTTCAACCGCCATGTTTGTTTATAGCGTAATTTCTTTGAAGTTTGCCGGGTTTCCTAACCAGGTCTGGGTTTCCTAACCAGGTCTTATAACAACCATGATGAAACTGAAAGACAACGGAGTTGCTTTACATGAAAAGAATGGACGTGATCTAAATTGAAAGGATGAGCTGCAAGAAGTGATGGGATATAACGGCCTATCCGTGACGTATCCGCTGGGGTCATATAAACACGTCAGCAGTTATATATGTAATTATGACAAGTGTTCGATCATGTTTCCAGTAATACACTCTCCTGGAAAGTACGTCAACTTGGCAATACAGCTTCGTTTTCGTGTATGTGAACATTAGTTGGAAAGTGGTCGACAGTGCTAAAATCCTTGATCTGAGCGTTTCTTACAACTTGAAATGGAACAATCACATTGACCAAATTATATCGAAGGCGCGAAAGCGTCTCTATTTTCTCTCCCAACTTAAGAGAGCGAGAGTTGGCAAGAAAGAACTTGTCCTATTCTTTACAACGTGCATAAGACCAATCCTAGAATACGCAAGTCCTGTATTCCATAATAGCTTGCCTTGACAAATTACCTCAGTCCGGATTTGGAACGAATCCTCTCTCCTCCGCAGAGGCTTTAGTTTTCTTAGGATTTAATATTACGAAGAGATGCATTTCACTACACTTTACATGGCGGATCTTGGAACACGAGCGTAGCTGCTGGGCGAAGGAGCGCAGGCGGCAAAGGGAAAGGCGAGGAAGACCCTGGGGACGAGGTTGAGGCGAGGGAAGGCGCGAATTAAAGCCTCTGCGGAGGAGAGAGGAACGAATCCAAAAGAGAGCATTGCGAATTATTTTACTTTGGGACTCATATAAAGAGTGACGCTTTACAATCAACTGGCCTCCATGGGTTTACTAGAAGCTGTTCTGCCTGTTCATATGAAGCAGGGCTCGCCAGGTTAAACAGCATGATTCGTTTAACAAAGCTCTTATCACGGCTTTGATAAACATCCAAAATGGCATTTCAAAGTTGAATTAACTGAGTTTGACTCCAGTGACAGCATAAAATTCTTTAAAACGATCTTTTATGGTCAGGAAACAATTTCGTGACACAATTCATCCCGGCTAGCTGGGATGGCCTGGGTCAGATCAACAGCCCGTTAAAAACTGCATGGGTAAACAAGGCTGCTGCCTGCTGGTCAATAAAATCAAAAACATATTTGATATAATATACTTTTCAATACTTTAAGAGAACAATTATGAGATGGCTATAAAATGTTAGTAGTGATTGTTAATTAACTCGAGGACAAAATACATTTTAGAATATTCTTTTAGGTTATTCATGGTTCAAATTGTATTTAATTTCATAGTAACTTGCGAAGTTCAGAGCAAAGCTAGCCAAGGAAGCTAGTCGGTGTCCCCCTCTCCCCCAACTTTTTTGAAAACTGAAAATGTGCCAAAAGAAAGTGCCCTTTTTGGATTATCAAATGTGCTCTATTCTATAGCGACTTGTATTCATGTTTTTTACAGATGATGATTGCAAAAGGGAGATCGCCATCATAAAGGTTAAATGGAATGAAGACTAAAATGCAAAGCCGCGGTCCTAGACGATCTGATGATGGGAAATTCTTCATTTATTTTGTTTGATAACGTAGAATGGACGTAGAATTAACGTAGAATTATTTTTTTATAAAAAAAATATTGTGAAAGTCATTACGTACAGCGATGTAATAAATACATGTTTTCTTCAATTTTTTATTGCCAATGTCAATAATTAAATTATAATCAAAATGCACTTTGTGATTCGGTAATGACATTAATCTTAAGCCCGGATCTAACCAGAGGATCGAGAGTGTATGAAAGTTGGTTGCTTAGCTGTTCTTAATACTCCTTAGCTGTTCTTAATGCTTTCCGGCCAACACTATCATATTTAAACATAGTTGCAACATTCATCAAACCTTTATTTTTTAATCTGGAATTTGAAATATCCCCTGTAATAATTTGTGATTGCCAACTCTCATCAACTTCCATCCTCGTTTGACCGGGACTTTAGACTTAGTAAAGTGGCATTGTTGCCAGTACCCCTCCCCCCCACACACACACACACACACACACACACACACACTTTTGAGATGCTTCCGCGGCCTATGGTTCAGGGTTTTGCTCGAATTTTATAAAACAAACATTTTCACAGTCTTGAATTTATATATGTAGGGTTGGATAAAAATATCCGCTGAAGCCAAAATAGTGGTAGACTAACAATATTGCCATCTTTCAAGTGGCCTGAGGCATAAATAATAAACTGTCCTTTAAAACGTCGGAAATTTCAATGTACAACAATTTAATCACGGACATAGAAAACTCTGTGAACATGTCCATTTAGTAGCAGAAATCCAATGTAGTAACCCGGGGGATCGAAGTCGTTTCAGAAACTCTTTTAGAAGGACAGATGAGAATGTTATGCATGGTTAACAAACCTATAGTGTTAAGTGAAAGAGAATTTAAAGACATTTTGCGTTGTTAGAGGTTCTGAAACTGATTGAAAAAATCATAAAAACGAAAGAAGCAAAACACAAAGTTAGATTTTCGGACGTGTAAAAAATGATAATTACTCCACCAAGATTTGGTAAACAATTGATAATTTTATTTTTTAAAGAACTAAAAGGTTGCAGTCCTGCCATGGTTTATAAACTAAAATTAACATGCCTGAAATGCATGAATAGTCAAATATAAGACTAAACTTGGTTGGTGACACATCAGATTACATGCAGTTTTCAACAATTCATCTAAGCGTATAATTAAAGTATTGGTGGTGTTGGATCTATCCTGGGAATTGGTCGGGATTTATCTAAACTTGCGGCTACTGTTCTTTCTAATCCATGTAGATACATCGAGAATAATTTGCCACAGTCTTGCTGTTTTTAATTCGCCACCCAGAATGCATGGCGCAGGGCCTTTTAACTATAACTGGGGGGTCAATGCCCCATGGTACCCCCATCCCCCCCCCCCCCAAGTCAACAGTCCCTTTTCTTAAAAATATAAGCGAAACATTGGACGAAAATGGAATTTGTAGGAGAGGTTTTATATTCTAGCAACTGAACCTTGCTTAATTGTGAATCTTATGTTATGTCTTTGATAATCAAGTGTGTCGATTATAAAAAGAACAACATTGAGACCCTAGTCACGCATCGACCACCATGCAAATCTGCATATGCACAGAATAGAACAGTAAACGAAAACAACATAATAAACATAACACTGCTCCCTGATACTCCCGCTGCAGATATTAACAACAATAGGATCGGTGAACTGTTTACACTATGTGCACTTAATGCACAGTCACTTAACAACAAGGCTGCTCAATTTATCGACTATGTTGTTGATTGCAAAGCAGATATTGTATCACTCACTGAAACTTGGTTTACAAACACTGAGTCGGCTACTAGAGTATTGTGCACGCCAAATGGATACAATCTCCTCGACCACCCCCGCTCTAATCGTGTAGGTGGTGGGACAGGAATTTTATTTAAGGAGAATATTACTGTCAAAAAACTGGCTGCTGGCGAACTTCGTTCCTTTGAATACTCTAAATGGAGCGTTGTTAATGGATCTCGCCGCCTACATTTAATAATTGTGTATCGACCACCGTACTCAGACGCTCATCCGGTGACTACAAGTGTATTTTTCTCCGAGTTTACCAACTTCTTGGAATCAATTACTTTGTCCAACGACCCTCTCCTAATAACGGGTGATTTCAACATCCACGTCGACTGTACGGACAACTTAGATTCCATTAAATTCCTTGATCTCCTTGAAAGTACCGGACTTAAACAGCATGTCAGAGGCTCCACTCACTGCTCTGGCCATACCCTTGATTTAATAATCACCAAGCAGACTGATAATATCATCACCAGCATTCCGAGGGTTGACCATCTGTTTTCTGACCATAACGCTGTTCTTTGTAACCTTGAATCTAACGCAGTACCACTAACACAGAAACATATTTCTTTTCGTAAACTTAAATCTGTCAATATCGAGGCTTTAAAAGAAGAAATATCCTCTTCCGACCTCTGTAAAAACCCACCATCCAAGCTGATAGACCTGGTTTCATGCTATAATAATACCTTGATGACTGCTCTAAATCATCAAGCGCCACTGATCTCCAAGACTATTACCACCAGGCCTGCGGTCCCATG